CGGAACCGGGGGAGGGGGAGATGGGCGGCTCGGGCGGCTCCTTCCCGTGCCGCGGGCGCTCCGAGCATCGCATCTTCCCGGCGGGGATCAGCTCCTGAGCCCGAGCCTTGTAGTCCTCCGGCTGCCATATGGAACCGTGGCTCCGCGTTCCCGTTTCCAGTGGGAATTCAGCCTCCTGGCCCGCGAGGGCTGCGGGGATAAACAGGAGCTTTCCTTGACCTCCTCGCCAGTTCCCTGGGTAGCTCGTGGAAAGAAGGGGGATAAGTTTTGGCGTTTGCGGAGACGGTGTAAGCGGCTGAAAAACTGCTGCTTTTCTGTGCCTCCTCGAAACGGCTGCTCCTTGCTGGGTGGTGGAGCCAGAACTTTGGTCTGACGAAGGCTGACGGGTCTGCAGGGCACGGAACTAGCGTAGGTGGCACAAGCGCCCTTTTCTGGCCCTTAAAATCTCGTGGTGTTTTGGTATTCCAGGCAATTGGAGGTGCCCGTGGCTGAGTTGGTTGTGTTTGCCCGTGTAAAGAAATGAGAGGTAAAATAGTAGCGAAGGTAACAAGGGTAAATGTCATGCTGTCCATAGCTTTTTTTTGGGGTCCACCTAAAGCTTTGTGCGGCATAAGCCTCTCAATGTCTGAGGCTGGGTTGTGCGAAGTTAAACCTTCAAAACCAAGATTAAAAAACTTAAATGAGGGTTATACTGTACATTTGCTCCTACCATACTTGAATTGCTTAAATCCCACCCTAGTACCTGGATCGCAGTGAAGCCGACTGATGTCTCCCCACTGTCAAAGATGTGTGAAACGGGATGATGATGAGTGATAAAGTGTGTGCTCTTCCACGCCTAAATTGGTAATACAGTGAGATTTAAAGGAAGATTACTTGTGCTGGTGGTGTTCCTCTGAGAACAGTTTAAAATATATCCTATTGCCATGATATCAGAATTATTTAAAGGTTATTTGTGCTAGATTAAACCGAGAGGATACGATTGCTTCTCTCACTCGTAACAGATGAATAGACTACCTGAATACCATGGTATTTTTCCTTAAGGCATCTTTGCCATCAGATGTCTCGGGGCACTTATCATGAGCTCTTTCTCCTTAACTGAAAGGGCAGGGATGCTTAATGTTTAACAAGGACTTTGTTTGTCTATGATCTTAATTGCTGGTGCGGTTAAACGTCGCACAAAATGTAGGTTTGGGCACTCTCTAACGCGCCTTTGAAGTTCTCATCTTTCACTGTCTGTCTTTTTTTCGTGATCTTATTTCTCAGCTTCCCCAGTCACTGTGCTACACGCAGTCAAAATCAGGTTCTGAAGAGGAGAGAGATGAAATAAAAAGAAGAGTTCGGGGATTTTCAAATCTCCAGCTGTGACTGTTGGACCTTGCGTTGCCCGGTAGATGGGCTGTAGAAAAAGGAGTTTGTTGGTACTGATGGTTCTGGAGCGATGCTCTTGATCAACCTGCTTACGTGGGTCCTTTTCAGGGTTCCTCTTCAAGTGCGATTAGCGAGGCTGCAGCTTTAGTAACTGGTGCGTACTGGTTTTGTCTGTCGTGTAACAGTGACTTACACCTGTCGGAGCCAACCGCGTTGTGCTCGTTTGGGATCTGTTCTTAAACAAAGTGGTCATCGTGTCATCCGTTAACTCTCCTGTGGTTCCTCCTTACGTGTGTACATGCCCTCTACCCAAAATTATCCCTTATATACTGTTCCTCATGGCCGCCTTGGGAGTTGTTATTTGAGCAAGAATATATGTTATTCCTGCTGTTTCAGTCCTGCAAACCACTGGACTACTCCAAGCTCAACTACTAGACAAGCCTGCCTGCTTGTAGGACACGTGTTCTTTACTTCTGGAGCAACTTTTTGGGCTTATTACCACGTAATCTTATCAGCAAGCGATTTGCTACCTTCGAGGTGGTGTGGTGGCTGTTTTCTGAAAAGGAAAACACCTGTGGCCGTTTTCAGGGACATGGACAGGTATTTTGAGAAAGTGTAGGGTCTCCAGTAGTGAATTCTAGATGACGTGTTCCCTCGGTCTGGGATGGAAAACTTTGTTCAGCTTTCTGTCAAGAGCAAAGTCCAGCGTCAACTACTCTGTAAGCGTTGGACTTCGGATGGCACTGGAGGAGTTATGGTACGAAAGATCACGAGAAGTTACTACTGATAGTACAAGGGAGGGTGTGGTGTAAGATGTGTGGTGTGGGAATGGCTTGACAAGCTGCACTTTGAAGGATTCTGGGTGTTCAGAAGAAATCGCATCCAAGGTCAAAGGTCGCTTGATCCTGAAATGACAGGTGTGTTGGTTTAGTGATGGAAGGAAAGTGTTTCTTCTGTGAATGCTGGTGTTGACCTCTATGAAATGATAAAACCCATGTGTCATTATTATGCTGCTCCTGAAGCTATAGAATCATGGAACGGTTTGGGTCGGAAGGGACCTCAGAGACCATCCAGTTCCAACCCCCCTGCCATGGGCAGGGACACCCTCCACTACACCAGGTTGCTCAAAGCCTCATCCAACCTGGCCTTGAACACTGCCAGGGATGGGGCAGCCACAGCTTCTCTGGGCAACCTGTTCCAGTGCCTCACCACCCTCAGAGGGAAGAATTTCTTCCTGAGATCTAATCAAAATCTCCTCTCTTTCAGTTTAAAGCCGTTGCCCCTTGTCGTGTCACTACACACCCTTGTCCAAAGCCCCTCTCCAGCTTTCTTGTAGCCCCTTCAAGTACTGGAAGGTGCTGGAAGGTCTCCCCGGAGCCTTCTCTTCTCCAGGCTGAACAGCCCCAACTCTCCCAGCCTGTCTTCATAGCAGAGGTGCTCCAGCCCTCGCATCATCTTTGTGGCCTCCTCTGGACTCGCTCTATAATATTTTAATGCTCTCTTTCCCCTACCCCTTACGTTTTGAGCTTCAGAAGCTGTTGAAGGATATTCATGTTTCTAACTTCTAGTGAAGTACAGCAGTGATGTAAGGAGGGGGTTGTCATGCAGCCGTGCTTTAGTGTTGGGTGTGCCAACAGTGATTCTCACTGGACCTTCTCTGTGTTCCTCACGCTGCTTTCCCACCTCTTCCCCTGGGCCCTCATGACATTCCTGAGTGTTTTTATTATTGTTACAGTGGTTACCCCTTGGTGACATTAACTTTGCATCGTTCCATAGCCTGTTTTTTTTTTTACTGCTCATGTTCCACTTCCCTTCTCCCCTTCCAGACAGAAAAAGGGAGAAACCCCGCTGCCTTCCTTGATGGTCTGAAGTATTTGTACAAGAGTTACAATGTCCTTGCCTATCATCCAAAGAAAAAAAAAAAAAAATTCTTGTAGGATGATGGTTAAAATCTGGAATAAAACTGCGGTTTGTGTTTTGGGAAGTGGATGGGCTGTGATCCAAGCTAATGCTCAATTTAACTGTTAATTTCGTGGGTGAGCTCTTGGTGTGCACCTGCTGGGTGACTCGTGGGGAATGGGTTGGTGGTGCTGGAAGGGTGCACCACCACGTGTGCTCTGGGAGGAGGGAGAGTGGCAAGGGCTGGTCCAGGGCTTGTGAAGGTAGGTGCGTGCACGTGCTTTTTAGACATCGTTTTCGTTTCCCAAAGGTGAATTTCTCTCCGTTTCAAAGAGGACATTGCAGAGATGCTGCAGTTCTGAAGACACATCTTGCCTAATAAACTTGTGGGTCACTCAAAATTTGTTACACAGTTTTAGATAACTGTCACTTCTCCCAAACTTCTACATCTTCCCTGCCACACAAAACCAAAGTGTTTCTCGCTGCCTCGTTACTTTCCAGCTATATTGGGTCCTTCATTCTTCAGTACCACGTCTGAAATATTGCTTTGGAACAAAACCAAAACATTCTTACGGTTGCTTGACATCTAATGTAAGTGACCGAGAATGCAGACGCGCTGTAATCTCCTTGATATGTCAGATTTTTTTAAAATAGGATTAGCAGCAATATGAAAATCGAGCTGACTTGTTTCTTTAATGATGTGTCAAGCAGCTGCTCTTTATATGACTTGACAAAAGTTAAGATCATTTCTGTGCAAAAGCACGTTAATCTTAAGAAGCAACAAATAATGTAATTTTATGAGCTCGAAGCTGCAAAGCCCCTTTGTAACAGCGCCTGGACTATCCTTGTGCCAAGAATTCAGTCCTTCACAATTTTGAGCTGAGGGGAGACCTGATTACAGCCTACAAATACTTGAGAAAAGATGGTGGGGAGGTCGGGGAAGGGCTCTTTACATTAGTGTTGGGTGATAGAACAAGAGGAAATGGGTATAAGCTTAGTCAGGGGAGGTTCAGGTTGGATGTTAGGAAGTATTTCTTCTCTGAAAGGGTTGTCAGCCACTGGAATAGGCTGCCCAGGGAGGTGGTTGAGTCCCCATCCCTGGATGTGTTTAAGAATAGGGTGGATGAGCTACTTGAGGATATGGTTTAATGGGGATTAGGGATGGTTGGACTCGATGATCTCTAAGGTCTTTTCCAACCTAGAAATCTATGAATCTATGAATTTATGAATTTGCAGAGCTTCCACCTTCAGCTGCCAAGTCGCTGTGTGTTACCCCAAGTTGTGGTTCCTGCCCGTGCTTATGGAAAACCACCAGCCCTTGTGTCATCAGACTGGGAGCAGGTGCTGCAAACACAGCTGAGCACCTCAGCGGCTGTGGCTGCTGGGTGCAGGTAGGTATGGGTGGGTGTAAATCAGCCTTGGACTGTGTTTCTGGGAAGCTGAGGAATATTGGCTTCTTTTTATGCAAAGACACAAGCTCAGTGGTGTGATGTGACCAGTTGTGGGTCAGCAGCTGTGTGGCAGCAGTCTAAAAGTGCTCTTTCTTCTTCTGCTCAGTATAAGGTTGTCTCTGGGGCAGTAGCAGCTGCTGACTCTACTCTTAAGAGATAAAAGCAACAAAAATGGTTCTGAAGAGCTTTCAGTCTTAATTTCTTCTTTTAAATCCTGCAATTTTTTTTTTAAAAAAAGACA